GCACAGCCAAGTAAAAACACAATACAAACATCATAATTAAATTTAAAAATTATTAAAATTCTTACATTTGTGGCCGAAATTCGTTAAAAACCCAAAAATTTAAAAACTCCAAATTTAAAACTCCATTACAAAGATAGCCCTGCCTGTCCGAAGAGCAGGGTCTTGAGGGCACAGCAAAAAACTTGGAGGTCAGAGATTGTGCGTATTTCCGGGGGCAGATCGTTCCAAAGGGCAGGGGCTCCCATAGAGAAGGCTCTCCCCCTGGGTATCGCCAGCTGACATAATTTGACCAACGGCACCCTGAGGAGTCCCCCTCTGTGGGAGCGAACTGGTCGGTGGGAGGCTATCGCTGGCAGAAGGCGGTCTCATAGGTACCCAGGTCCTGAGCCATGGAGCGCTTTAAAGGTGGTAACCAACACCTTGAATCGCACCCAGAAGACCACTGGGAGCCAGTGCAGCTCGCGCAGGAGAGGTGTTACATGAGCGCAACGGGTTGCACCCATAATCATTTTAAGCTGTACCACTGATTTCCAGCAGTGTTTCTCCAGAATTTCAGCACCTAGTTGAGCTCCTTTTCATGTTTTTTTCATGCAAAAAAAAAAAAAAGGATATTCAGTGGAAACTGGTATGCACACTGTCACTGGAAGAAAGTACCTACAGAATAGCTTCAATTAACTTTTTGGTCATACACCAACTTCCTTTAATAAACTTTCAGCTTGTCAAATTTGCTGCTGAAACACTTAAAGGTCCAACACTCACTACAACTATTAAAATACATATTTTGACATTTTGTACAGTATATGAAGAGCTTGAGATGTAAAACACATTGTCAAAAACATAACTTTTTGCCTCTATAAGAATTTCATAAAATGGTTGAGTTGTCAGAGAAATGACAACCAATAAAAGATAGGAATCCAAACTGATTTAGAATTGTGGAATACTGAGAAATACACAGATTAGCACTGAAGTGAATAGGAGAATCCCCTTAAAGTCTCTGCATGTATAGCTTTTTTCCAATTTGCCTGAGATTGAGAAAGGAAGAAATAATTATAATAGAGATGTGCAGAAGCATACACTGATCCTCTCAGGTATTTTATAAAGTTAACAATGCAACTTATTTTTTTAGATGCCACGGAGAAATAAAAAGGATTTCAGATATCTAAGGAAGCCATTGTAGGAAATCATTCTTTTTCACGGAAGCTCATGCAGGTGTTTTATATTTTAAAGGTATTGTGGTTACAAAAGACAAAGAAAAGACAAGAAGCTGAAGCCCCATCAGCAGGTCATGCCAAAGGCAACAGATAACTGGATAAAAAGCCTAGAAAACTACAACCAATAATTAAGGCAACCAATTCTGGGGTAGATAGAGGATGGCTAGGATTTGAGTTGAGAGAAAGGCTTTCTCCACATTTCATAGTTAAGAGACAGGTTGAAATAGTCCTTGCTATGCCCCAGTAATGAATAAAGGTCTGGACAAGACAAGTCTACCCATAAAAGGAAAAGTGGAAGACAAGGAAGTTGATAGAAAAGCTTAGAAATTGTAAATAGAGACATAATTGGACAGCCATAGAGAAACAAACAAACAAACCTATTGATTAAGGTTTAGTAATGGATAAACCCAGTAAGCCTGACTAGGTGGCTCAGTGGCTAAGATACTGAGCTTGTCGATCAGAAAGGTCGGCAGTTCAGCAGTTCGAATCCCTAGTACAGATCTCCTGCATGAGCAGGGGGTTGGACTAGATGACCTCCAAGGTCCCTTCCAATTCTGTTACTGTTAAATGCCTATATACAGTTGTAATTTATAATAACATATAATGGGACCTTATCAATAGTTTCAATGGTGGACAGATAAAATTAGATTACAAACACCATTAGGTACAAACAGACTTACTTGCTAGCTGTGAAGTTAATCATTAATCTAACCCTCCACTTGTCTGCACTGACCTCAGGATATATTATAAAATGTTTCTGGCCCACTGTCTGACATTTGAGGTAGGGTTTTATATTTCCTTTCATTGTAGTTTGGAATCTGAGCTCCTATTTCTGCATCCTGCTAGAGGAGTTGGGCTCCCCTTTATGTGTGGAAGGGAACTGCTCCAGCAGGCTGCAAGTACAGAACTGGGATCAGTGAGATATGAGCTCAATTTTTCCACCATGCCAAAGGAATTCAGTTCCCCTCAGTAGGCAACTCTTTCAGCCAGCTCAGAGATGAGATGAGAGGGAATCTTCTAAACAGGCACAAACAGCTTGCAATCTTTCCTGCTGTCTTCCCCATTGACTTACTGGGAAAGCCAGCAAAGAAGATGGCAAATGCAATCATAGGATTATGAGGTGCTTGGCAACCAGTTGTTAAATGTAAACAGTTTACCAAGTACTGAGATTGTAATCATGTGACCATGGGGCAAGGGAGTGCAACATTTTGCAATAGCTGGAAGTGTTTTACATTTCTGAGGCCAACGTAACTCCCAACAGCGGTTAAACAATTGGTTGTATGTCGAGGACAATCTGTACTTGTAGATACTCAAACCTTACTGCATTTCCATAAGTGCTTTTGTGTGGTCTTCTATTTTAGTTTTTTCCTCAAACTGTCCACAATAGGTAGGTGAATGTAACTCAGCTTTGTGAATCATTCAGATTGTCAGTACTCACATCAATCCTTTTACAATAGCAGGCAGTGCATAAACATTGCTACGAATGATCTCCTCACAGTGGGGGGAAAAAAGCCAAATGAACCATCTGCTGCAGATTAAATTCCAATATATCATGCAATGTATTAGCTTATATAGTTTACTAAATTGCGCTGCCCAAGTGCCTTTGTGTCATGATGGGGGAAAAAAAATCTTTCATTTGACAAATTTCTTTATATTTTACAACTGCCAGTAATGTGCAGCTGCTGACAAACAAACATAAACGAGTAAAGCACTGCAAAGGCAGAGCAACTTTAACAGGGGAAAGAAATGCTGAAAGTGTCTTGGAATGAGCGACATTTTAGAGTGATGAATGCACCCTTCTATGCCATTTGAATGGGTTAGCAAGTTATTCTGCTGCCCATTATCATAAAATGGGAGAAAATGATATCCAAGATATTTATAGTTCCAAGGAATATAAGTGAATTATGTGGTTACTGAAGTTTATTTCATTCATAGCGTATTGCTAAGCAAACCTTCCATTGTGCTACTTCTTTACTTGCCATTCATGCTCCTTTTAACATTTTTAATATATAAACACAGATCTTTTAAAAAAGTCTATTTAGCCAGGCTTCACTCCAAAATGACTGGAATGCATCCAACCTTGGCACTCTGACTGAAAGTGCAATACTTCACATGAAATGCCTCTTATGAGCATATATCTTTATGTTTTGAAGTTTTTTTTAAAATACATTCTGTGCTGTAACTGCTACTCACAAAGATTATTTTTTGTGTGGCATGGATTCCCAACTATCTGTTTTTCTCTCACACACATCACTTATCCCCCTCCCACACAGAGCATTAATTCCAGAAAGCAAACTTATATTTAAAAATGCAACATTTTATTACTTTTAAGATGAGGATTTTTAACTATTTGCCTACATATGTTTCCCTTGAATCCTTGAATCCTATATTTAGCAGCCTAGGAGCTTTATTCTCAGTTATTCTTATCCTGATTACTAGTGTTCTTCAAACAAGCCATATAATTATGCAGTAGTTAGTGTTATTACATTCTCCTTTCTCAAGCTGTCATTTCCAGGTGAATAGCTCTACAACACAGCCCTGTCATGGCAATTCTTACTGAGGATTGTGAGAGTTGTAATTCAATGCATCAAGAAGACATCAGCTTGGGGAAAACTACAATATTGTATAAAGTTGATCCAAAGTTAGGCTTGTAAAAATCAGATATGACTTGATTTGAACTGGAGAGTTTAAGAGGCCAAGATTCATATTAAGATTTGATGGGAAACCAACTCAGTTCAAGACAATATGATATTGAAGTTCAATTAAAAATAAGGAACAAAAAAAAAAGCCTCCCATAAGCTGTGATGTGAGGAAACACAAAAACAACTGAACTCCTTCAGTTTTTCAAGAATAAGATTTACAGACGGGCTGATAAATTCTTTGGAGAAGCTCAATTATATTTCAGCCAGACAACAACAAATATATTTTTGAAAGAGACTTCTTACAGAGCAGAGAAAGCAGAACTGGGTAAATGACAACCCAATATTTTTTAGAATTTGTGGTGGATGAATGAGAGAAATCCTCCTGCTGGTGGTGGCAGGGGCAGGGGACAGCTCTTGTACTTTGGTATTTGAATGTGTGTATGCATGGTAGCATGTAAGAAGGTGAGGGCTGGGTATTGGCACTGATTTCTGGTGGACTGCTTCAGAGTGCCCAGCTTCCCCTTCCAGGAAGGGTTGAGAACACTGTGAAGTTCTTGCTCCCAGGTCTGAAGTCATAAAACTTCCCTTATCCATGATTAGGTCATTAATGAGAGTGCCAATCCAAGAACTGGTTGGGTTCAGAAGATATGTGTAGGGTGTTCTTTCTGAAATTTGCCCTGTTGGGTTTTGAGTGTTGCATCAGACTGTGAAAAAATGGAAATTGACCTGCCCATCTCGGGTGAATTAACTTTGCTGCTTCTGATTATTGGATTCCTGACATACCAGAACATATCTTCGCTTTTTTTTTTCAAGAGGCAACTGGACTTTCTAGTTTTTCTTTGAAGACATTTCGCTTCTCATCCAAGAAGTTTCTTTAGCTTTGACTGGATGGTGGGGAATGGAAGGATTTATATTCCTTGCAGACAGCTGATCATTTGCATTCTTGTTCAAAAAGAAAAAAAAAAGAATGTAAATTCTTTTTACATTCCAGCATAATGCCAGCATTTGGCTGGCATTATGCTGGCAAATTTAGAGGTGATTATTTCCAATTTGTCAACATTCTTGTCACTATAGTAACCAGAACAGGATGATTCCATATGGAATCTGACCAGTGCCATAGACAGAAGAACTTTCTCTGTAATATAAACATTGATGCAGTTCAAGATTATACTGGTTGTTTTGACAGCTAGGAGGGTGAGGCTTTCAATAGCTAAACTGAATATGAAGTATTACTCGTACTTCCCTGTTCATTGTGATTATGTTGAACTGAATTTTTAATAATAATCTTTTAACATGCTTCTATGTTTGTTGTTTTATTTCTATTTTGTACTCTTTATGTTATTCTTAATTGTTCTGAACCCCACTGAGTCACATATGTGAAATATGAGAGGTAATACCAATTGAATAAATTAAATAAATCACAGTTACACATTAAAGAAAGCATAACAGATCTGCAACAAGTGTTCAGTATTTTAAAAGTAGCCTTTTCATCTACTAGCATACTGAAGAAACTCCTGTTCTCCCTGTATTTAGTGACACTATCCAGCTATATGCTTGTTGCCATTTCCATTAAATAAGGATAGAGACTATTTAAAATTGCAGAATTCTTACATTCTACTCCTTTTCATTATTGCTTCTTGTTGAGCAGGGCAGTATAAATAGATAATTAATTGCCCTTTGAATAGTTTTATTTAATTGTTCCTTAATATCATTTTTTGTTCCTTTTTCTTGGGGGGGTTGAGGTTTTAATTACAGTTATTCTCCTTATTTTCATTTTCATATTAAAATTGCACTACTTAGCTATAAAAGAAGAAATAATGAGAAGGAAAATAGATAAAACTATGAACATGAAATCATGGCAAGGAACAATTAAAAGAGGCTATTCCAAGCACAAAGAATAGGCTATTATCTTTCTGCAAGTTGAACTCAAAGTAATAAAACAGGAAAGCAATATCAATGAAGGAAATTTGGGCTGAAAAGATCTGATTTCAAAATAAATATTATGGAAAGGTATTGGCCATATGGGACAACTTTGGTAACACTATATTAAGTCATGTATTGAACCAACATTTAATTTGTGTTGCACTTTTGTAGGAAAAACAACATCCTATTTGTGCTAGGTTTACAGTGGTGATGAATTTTTTTTTCTGAATATAGAAGCAGCCTGTGAAAAAGGAACTACAGAAAAAGAAACATGTTACATTCAGAAATAGTATAATTAGACTTCCACAAAACTAGATTAGATCATGACACATTTACAGCTTGAGATACATAGTTGGAATAGAATTTAGACTACAAAAGCCCTGAGCTTAATTGAAGGTTAAGGTCTATGGGGACAATAGAAATTAGAATTTGAGGGGCTTCTGTACAAAGGTGGTAATGTTAAGAAAAATCATGGAGAATAATTAAAGATATGTATAGTTGTAATCATAGATGATAACACATAGCATATCTCCTACAATTAATAATTTGGCTCTAATCTCATTTCAATGACAAAATGAAAGCGCTCCTCCACTACCACCATCACAAAGACAAAAATATTGTTCAGCAAGATGCTTACAGAATTCCTGCAAGTATTATAATAATAGCATAATAACTTATCACTGTTTCTTCGAATACAACAAAATGTTTATTCATTCCATACTTCATCCCATCTTCTATAAAACCATCTCTTAATTCTTCACCTCTTGTTATTAATCATCAAAAATCCAGCAAGAGTTACTATAAATAACAGTTTAGGTATCTCCATTTCCATTTAAAGATATTCCTCCTATTCCTTCTCATCAAATTCATCACCAGTCCCAATTAAAAATTTCCATTAAACGTTATCAGATGTATGTCAACATCTATAGATAACAATTATAATGTAGCAGCTCATTTTTATATAAAAATCAATATAAGTATTACAATATAAGTATTACAAATTATATCCAATACCCCAATTAAACATCATCATGAATAATAATTATCCAATCCCAGTAAAAAAAAAAAAAGACTTCACTAGAGATAAGAGCCCATTATTTTAATCATGATCAAATAAGCCAGTTTTGTATTTTTTTCTTCTTCTTTCTCCCAGTGACCTTTAAGTCCCACAAAACAAGTTCTGCTTTTACATACTTTCTTTATCTCTTCTCTCAAAATTCTTTTCATTTTGGTCAAAGTCTTTTTGCAATCTCAATATATTAACTCCAATAAATCCCTTTTGTGTTTTTAAATTATCATTAAATTCCATTTGTAGATCCATTATTCCCATTTCTTTCTTGTGGGTTGTTATTTTTAAATCCTTCTTAAAATATGTTTCAGGTTTATTCAGTGGAGTTTGTTTCTCTTCAATAACACATTGAACAAGAGGAACACATTTGGTTCCATTACAGAATAAAATAATTCACGAAGTCAACCTCCTATACCCAAATTGCTAACATTTCTTTTAAGGAAACCATCTGGTGCCCTCTAGTGTCTAACCTTCCCAGTCAACTTATCAGTTTAAATATAAACAAGATATTTTTTCCCACTGGAAAGAATCCTTTTAATGAACTTCTAAATCCTTCTTTAATTGAAATCCAACTGTACCCTTTATCAATTTAAAACTTCTGAAATCAACACTACAGTTACCTTTTCTCTGAGTTTTTTTTTTTTTTTTTTAGAATTCTACAAAAGTTTAAACATATACTTTTTTTTCTTTCTAAACAGATTGAAGAAAAACTTACCCAGCAAATGGCAATCTTTTTGACAGAAAGTAAGGGGGAAAATTACAAATAATTAAAAAAAAGGAGGATTAGCTGAATCTTGAAATCATTAAAAAAATGCATTAACAATTCTGAGCCCAATCGCAAGCGACCATAAAATCATCAGTTTCTGTCATCTACTCAACACAAGAAGAACAAATCTTATATACCCAGATGAAATAAAACCAGATTTCTCACTGAAACTGCTAATAATGAAATTAAAGCATTTCCAGCTTGAAAGGATTAGCCAGTGACATCATTGTTGTCTGGTGGACTCCCAGTTGGAGGCTCCTTTCATTTCCCTGGCAGGAGCTGGAGTGAAGGACGCGAGCTCAACCTCACTCCACAGCAGCTCTTGGGTCTCAAACACAGGCTTGCTAAACTCCATCCCAGCATCCTAAACATGTGAGCCACTGTGGTCCTTTGAGGAAGACCTTAACTAAGCGTAAGATGGTTAGGCACTATCACTGATAGCACATGCATGAGTTTACAAACACTAAAACAGCCAATTACCAACCAATTGACAAAATGATGTTCATTTGTTGGCAAAGAGTCTGAAAAAGTTCATTATTTCTCTTGAAGGGAATATGAATAAACAAAAATAACTTCTGTATTTTTCAAGCTTCTGTCATATTTTCAAGTGTGGAAGATGATTCAAGAGTAACTGTCCTTGAAAATTTGATAGGAATTTTTTCTAATTTTAAAGAACAGGAATGCCTTTGGCAGGTATTCATATATCACCACATGTTCTTATTTTAACCACACATTTTTAAACAAACCAAAGGCAGGCTAGTGAAAAGTAGTCATTTGTAAAGCTATTTTTGGACGGTTTTTTTTTTCTCTCCCAAATACTCTTGCTTTACATCACTATATCTTAGTTTGGAGCTTTGATGGGGCATAAAGTAGCAATAAACAATGAAACTTCAACTATGTATTCCAATTTTCCCTTACTCTAACTTATTTTAGGTTAGTAATGAGCTATAATCAGTAAGTAATAGCAAATAAGGGCTTTAAATTAACTTATTTATTTATGGTCATAAACCAAAATTCTATATACTTCTGTGCAAGAAGAGAATATATGATGAAACTAAAATATTAAGAGGTAAAATATGTGGGCTATTTACCTTATAATATAGAAAATATATTTGTGCACATTCCATCTGATCAAGAACCAGGAGGAGCTTAAATGTCTGAGATGGGTAATTCTTCTATATATTTGTGTGTGTGTGTGCATGTGTGTGCATGTAGATCTTTTAAAAAGTCATTATATGGAAATAACTTATGGCCACAGTAACCTAGATAACAGCTCACACTTTTGCCAAAAATGCTGAGCTTTGTAAACTTCAGCAAGGAGTGACTGTGATTTTCAATCTCCTGGACCAAAAGCAGTGGTGGGATTCAAGTAATTTAACAACCAGTTCTCTGCCCTAATGATTTCTTCCAACAACCAGTTTGCCAAACTGCTCAGAAAGTTAACAACCGGTTCTCCCGGAGTGGTGCGAACTGGCTGAATCCCACCACTGACCAAAAGGCCTTCAGGTTCCTTGGGTCAACAAAAATATTTGAGTGATTTTTGCTGTGTGGTTACACTAGAGTTCCTTCTAAAATCAGGTATTTTACTTATGAACGAAACAATATGAGATTTCTAATCTCAAAATCTCTACCATGAAGAAAAAGATTTATTTCCAAATTGGTAGCCCATTTTAAAAGTATATGTTAAGTGTTTGTCATTTACTGCTATTGATTTTAGCTTTGCAAAGATGTAATAGAAACCATTCAAGTATGATTGGACACTTAACAAAGCAACCCTTCACTTTTCGATTCAAACTGTGCAACATACTACCACTCCCCTCTCCAAAAAAAGAACCCATCAAGCAAGCAATAGTTTCAATATATTAGTCTCATATGCTTGCCCAGTTGTATCATTTTATTTCTAACTAGGCAATCTATGCCCTATTAGGTCATCGTTTCAGATATTTATTTTTTTTACCTAAACAGAGAAATAAAATGACCATGGGTGGGCAAAAGATCAGGAGGTTCAAAAGTGCCTTCTGACTTCCTGATGGCTTCTCTACTGAGTTTCCTTGTGAAAATCTGGCAGGGAGCATTAGAAATCTCCTTCCCTTCCTTTCCTTTCCCAGCAGGCAGTTAAGTGGCTGCTACTGGGTGAGGGGAGCGGAGGGAGCAATGATTGCTCTGACTAGGAAACTGTCATGGAACATATGTGACTGCAGGAGCAGCAGGAGCATTAAAACAGCCATAACTTTTCCAAATTTCATTCTATGAGGAAAGATGGGCCATAGATTTTGGATCTTCTGTAAGATAGTCCATTTGAAGTGTCTTGGTTCAAAAATTGTCCTATGATGCACAGTGTTTCACTCAGTTAAAGGTTATGATCATGAGAGTTTTAATAGTATATAGATGAATGTAAAATAAGGAATAAACATTTAACAACATTGTCTTTATTTTTTTAATCATTTGACAATCTTAATCATTTGACAATTGAAAGATTGTAATTTCTGTTTGGAGATCACAATTTACTGATTTTTCATTCGCCACTTGACATGTCCGAAAAGAAATCATATTAAATCAGCAGACAATTCTTGAGACATGGAAGTTTTCTGTATAATTATTATCGATTTCTTTCCAGGAATTCTTCCCATGTTGAAACAACTTTATCAGTTATGTCTGGCATTTTAACACATTCTAAAGGGGGGACAACATGACAATAGCAAGATTATAATGATGAATGTTTGTACATGAAATGAAATCTTACTGGACTACCTCCTGTGCAGTCAAATCCTGGGAACAAAATGAAATTCTGCAGGAATATACCATGACTGATGACTTTGTTACCTTGTTCTGAGTTATATCTGTCTGACTCTTTTTTTTTTTTTTAGACAAGTCATGCTACTGTCAGGCTTGATGTTCCTTAAAGTTTCATTTTATTAGAGATGTCATATTGACACATCTGGGAAAACCCAAATTTGAAAACTTCCAGGTTTTCCCCACCCAAAGGAAAGTTCAAGTCCCTGCCCAGTGCCCACAAGTCACTGTCCAAGTCACATGGCCCAATCAAATCACTGTCCCAACTGGAGTTGCCTCCCAGTTCCAGCCCTCCAGGTGCAGGGCAAGATGTCCTTGGCTGTCTGAGAAAGGAATGTTATTATGACTATATATCACCCATGCTCCATACAATCCCCACTCCCAGTTTCCCACAGTAGCAAATGTGGCAGGCCTGAAGGCCCAATGCAAAAGATGGCTTCCAGGCCTGACAGCAACAGTAAATTAGCTATCCCAGCTATGGGAATTATCAAATAACAAAGTGATGTTGAATGGAGTGCTAAGAATGATCTGTGGCTGATTTTTTATGCTCTTATTAGGCATTTGGATGATAGAGTTGAGGCCATGCTTATAAAATTGCTAGATTATATATTTCGATGGAATAACTTATTTTGTTGATCACAGAAAGCAGGCCAAGACCTAGCTTGGTATTTCTACTGATGGAGTAAATATCCAAAATATAACCAAATAATAATCATAAGATAAAATTTAATAGAGTTAAATGTAAAGTTTTTGGACTTTATTGTACAAAAGTATTATTTGGACAATAATACTTGTGATGATAGCTTTGGGGCAGTAATTGGTTACAAGCTAGATATGAATCAGTCATTAAAGAGTTGCCAAAAGACAAACATAGTTTTGGGTTTTATTAGTAGGTGTATCATATCTAAAGCATAACAATTAGTCTTTCCTCTACATTTTGTATTACTCAAAATTCATCTCCAGTATTGTGTTTATTAGTGGATGTTCTATTTTAGAAAAGTATGTAGACAAACCAAAGTGAATTCTGTCAGTCCTTCAGAGTAGTCCAGACTAGAAAACCAAAGTTATAATTGTTAATGAATTAAAGTTATTGTAAAGTTACAATAACGGAATCTTGCAGATCTGAATGTGTCTCTCCCCTTCCCACCTTTATGTTCAATCAACCAGAATAGAGCTGAAAGGGATCTTGAAGGTCTTCTAGCTCAAGCAGGAGACCTTTTATCATTTCAGACAAATGACTGTCCAGTCCCTTCTTAAAAGCCTCCAGTGATGAAGCAGCCATACCTGCTAAAATCAAGCATTTCCACTAGTTAATTGTCCTTACTGTTAGGAAGTATCTCAATTCCAGGTTACTTCTCTCCTTGATTAGTTTCCATCAATTGTTTCTTGTCTTGCCTTCTGGTGCTTTTGAAAACAAGTTGATCCACTCTTCTTTGTAGCAGCCCTTCAAATGCTGAAATATTGCTATCATGTCACCCCTAGTCCTTCTTTTCTCTAGATTAGTCATACCCAGTTGCTGCAACTGTTCTTCAAATGTTCATTTTCTTAGTTCAAGAGAACTAAGTTAGGATCAAGCCTGAGACAACTTCTCCAATTATACTTCTGATTTGGACTTAGTCTCAGAGCCCATTCCAGGTTCATAGAGAACAACAAGGGTTATTAGAAAATATTTACAGACCCCACCCCCCATCTCACATTCTGGACAAAAAATCTTTCAACCTCTTTCCTCAAGACACCGTTATAGGGCATTGCATGCCTAAACAACTAGACACAAAGATAGTTTCTTTCCCAATGCCATTACTTTGCTAAACACCTAACTCCCATAGCACTGTTTTATGGATAAAGATATTAATCCATATAGTAGGCTGTATTGTGTTATTATCCTTGCCATCTTCTCATCTTTCTCAGCTCTCATCTTTCCTACTACTTTCTCCTATTGGTATGATTACCAAATTTTCTTTGTATCTTGTGATTTATGATTGTATCTTACGATTTATGATCTATGACTTATTACTTTGTTTTTTGTATGTACACTGAGAGTTTATGCACCAGAGACAAATTGCTTGTATGTCCTTTATTCACTTGGTGAATAAAGAATTCTATTCTATTCCATTCTATTAAAAGACTGCAAACTAAATTATGAGAATAAATTGAGGGAACTTACAGCAGTGCTCACAGGAAGTCATTGCTTTCATCAGACTGATGAATACAATGTTGTACCATCCTGCTGTGAGTTCCACTACAATGTTGGAACGCTGCTGATATCCATCATCCACATTTACCCACCCATCCCATCCTATCCCTATGATCCTGAGTGTGTCACATCTTATAAAAACACAACAAATTTTTTCAGATGCTATATTGCCTTGGCTTATTCGTTATTAAGCCAGAATACATGACATATGTCCCAGTTTTAAGTTATCAAAAGGTTATCAACATAGTCCTAGGGAAAATGCATTTCAAACAATAACCATAATTTGATGCTGCAGCCAATTATCTAGGGAAAGAGAGTGGGCTTCCTATTTCAAGGAATCTGAGCTTCTGCCATAGGAAGAGGATTGAAAACAATTTTGTCTGCATGCTGCATTCCAACTAAGGAAGTTCTACAACTTTCTGAAGTTAGGAATAATTAATATCTTCTATTTTTAATTTCTAAAATGAGTTGTAAAAATGAAAAGGGAACAAGTATGGCTTCTCTACATCCCAGAGACCTCCCAATCCATGCAAACGGGTTCAAAGGCTAGTTCTGATAAACATGACAGAAGTAAGTTCAAATAAATAATGCTA